TCTCCCCCACTTGTCTCCCAGGGGCGAGAAGCGGGACTGTCTCCATGGGTGTCGGGAAGGACTTGGGACATAAAATGGTATTTATCTGACCAGAGCCTGCTACTGCAGGCCAGACTAGACCCTCCCTAAAGGGGCCCTAGCTATCCCTGCTGCTGCCCGCTGGACTCCGACCTCATCTGGGCAGATTCTTTATGCAGCAGTTAACACAGAAACTGACAACTTGTCCAAGTGTAGAGAATAAGTGCCTGGGAAGTGTTCAGCAACAATGAGACATTTATACCATGCTCCCTTCCCTCAAAGCTCAAGGGCTATCTCAAAAGAAGGGGCAGAAGGGTCTAAAAAGGGTTTGGGAGAAGACAAGTAAAACTCTGTCTCTTGGACACAACAGGACCCTTGCACACATGGGCTCAGAGCAGCTGTGACTGCCTTCACAAGACTTGTACAAGATCAGGCCAGTCAGTATTCCAGCACGGAGTGAAAAGGCATTCATGAGCCCCCGCCCCTAACTGAGGAGCTATTGACAACTGATGGCTGCTGGAATTAAGAGGAAGTTTTCTTTAGGGTGTTACTCTGGTAGGTTCTCACTAAACTTCAGCAGGTAGCCCTACACCTCTCAGTATATGGGTAGCACACACTAGACTCAGTGGGATAGAAATAAAAATAAAAAGAAGACATGAAGTTAGGAGGGAGAGTGGAAATGAGAGGTGTTAGGGAGGAGCAGAAAGTGAATATGACCAAAATTCACTGTGTACAGGCTTGAAATTATCAAAGAATTAACAAAAATATTTTTAAAAGAAAGTATTTAGGATGCAAATAAAAAATAAAAATATACATACTAAATAAATTAAATGCAGAAAATATAATCATGAACCCTTACCATTTTTTGTTTATATGCCCTTAAAAACTTCTTCCAAATAGATACTAGACAAAAAGGCAAATCTGAATGATTAAAATGTGCCATGTCTAGCTTCGGTGTGTTTGCGGGGCCCATTCCACTTTTCACACTGCCCAACCATTTCTTTTCTCTGCCACACCTGGCAGGGCAAGGAAAGCCACGCCCTGGGCAGCTTCTCCATCTGTAGGCTTCACAGTAGGACTGGAACAGGAATTGCAACAAGGATCTTCTCTCTCTATTCAGAGGTCTAATACAGATATGACATAAACAGTAAAACTTTCAATGGTATCCCTTTGCCAGATGTGGAAGAAAGCAAACACGGTATTGCAGGTGAAAGAAGAACTCAAGGTAAGTTAAAGAAGTGTCTTAGCTGTATGTGTAAAAAAGTACTAAGTGTGATAACAGCAATGAGTTCTAACTCAGCTTTCAGTAACCTATACTCCCTGAAAAGTCTAGTGCAATTAAACTCAGAGAAATCTTTTTTCTTTTTTTTTTTAAACATACCAATCCCAGTTCCCACGCCCTCCTCTCCTCTCTTTTTCCCTACCTTCCCCCCATCCCACCCTTCATCTGCTCCTCAGAGAGGGTAAGGCCTCCCCTGGGAAGTTAACTAAGTCTGTACATCACCTTGCTGAGGCAGAACCAAGATCCACCCACCCCTACCCCCATGTCTAGTCTGAGCAAGGTTCTCATAGGGAATTCTCCATAGGGAATGGGCTTACACAGCTGCTGTGGAAATCAATATGATAATTTCCCAGGAAATTAGGAATCAATCTACCTCAGCAATACCACTTTTGGGCATATACCCAAAGGAGGCACACTCACACCACAAGGACATTTGCTCAACTATGTTCATAGCAGCATTATTTGTAATAGTAAGAACCTGGAAACAATCTAGATGCCCCTCAACTGAAGATTGGATAAAGAAAATGTGGTACATTTACACAATGGAGTACTACTCAGCAGTAAAAAAAAAACTTGAAATTTGCAGGCAAATGAACAGAACTAGAAAAAAAAAAAAACCATCCTGAGTGAGGTAACCCAGACCCAGCAAGACAAATATAATATGTACTTGCTAATAAGTGGATACCAGACATAAAGTAAAGGATAACCAACCTACAGTCCACAACCCCAGAGAAGCTAGAACCCTCATCCAGAAACAGATAGATGGTATGGGAGGTCCTTCTGTCTATGTATTGCTTTTATTAAATAATGAATAAAGGAACTGCTCTGGGCCTATAGCAGAGCTATAGGGGAACAGAGCTAGGCGGGGAAAACTAATCAGAATGCTGGGAGGAAGAAGGCAGGTGCCATGGAGCTGCCAGAGTCAGACATGCTGAAACTTTGCTGGTAAGCCACTGCCACGTGGAAATACACACATCAATGGAGATGGGTTAAATCAATATGTAAGAGCTGGCCAATAAGAAGCCAGAGCTAGCCTGGCGATGGTGGCGCACGCCTTTAATCCCAGCACTAGGGAGGCAGAGGCAGGCGGATCTCTGTGAGTTCCAGACCAGCCTGGTCTACAAGAGCTAGTTCCAGGACAGGCTCCAAAGCTACAGAGAAACCCTGTCTCGAAAAACCAAAAAAAAGAAGCCAGAGCTAATAGATCAAGTAGTGATTTAATTAATACAGTTTTTGTGTGATTATTTCAGGTCTAAGCTAGCTGAGTGGCCAGGAACCAACAAGCAGCTCCCTCCTCCAACAAATAGAATTAGATGCAGAGATCCACAACTAAACACTGAGCCAAGCTCCCACAGTACAATCGAAGAGGGGGAGGAATGATAATATGAGCAAAGGGGTCAAGAACATAATGGGGAAACCCAGAGAATCAGCTGTCCTGAGCTAGTGGGAGCTCACTGACTCTGGACTGACCACTGGGGAACCTGCATAGAACTGAACTAGGCCCCTGAATGCAGGTGACAATGATGTATCTTGGACAGTGTGTACAGCCACTGGCAGTGGGACCAGGCTCTAATTCTAAAGCAAGATCAGAGAAGTCTTAAGACTGAAGAGCTAACATTACATCTTATCAATGACCGAATCAGTATTATCAGTATATATCCAGGACCCTGAGTAAAAATCCACCAAAGGGCATGGGGACACATACCTTTAATCCCCACACCCAGGAGGCAGAGGCAGAGGCAGATAGCTCTCAGTGAGTTCCAGGCCAACCAGAGCTACATATTAAGGCCATGGCTCAAAAACAAAGAAAGAAAAAAGAATATCTACCTGGATGGAGGTGGGTGGTTCTTGGACTTCCCACAGGGCAGGGAACCCTGATTGCTCTTTGGGCTGACGAGGGAGGGGGACTTAGTTGGGGAAGGGGGAGGGAAATGGGAGGCGGTGGTGGGGAAGAGACAGAAATCTTTAATAAATAAATAAATAAAATAAATAAATAAATAAAAAGAATATCCACCAAAATGTAAGCTTCATTAAGGACAGAAGTTTTCATCTGTTTTGCTCATCACAATATCAAGATCTCCAAATTACACAATTACACAATTTAACTTATTGGTACCATTTGCAATTGAACAATTGCAAAATAACATTTTGGAATTGTGCACTAGTAATTGAACAGTGGAGTCATCTTTAATGTATACTAACCATAAGTAATACACACCCCTCTTTAACCTTCCTTGTTACATTAGGGAGTAGTAGGCTGTGCTTGTGGCCCACAGAACTACACCACACCTTAATGACACCACCTGTAGGTCAATTTCTCAGAGCAACATAAAGATATTTATCACTTTGCATTTCGTCCAGTGTTCACGGTCAGCCCTTTCTTTCATGTCTCATTCTCTTACTGATCTAAGCATACTGATACGGGTCCCTGCAGAACTGCAGTGAGGAAGCATTTTCAGAGCACAGACTGACAGAAGCTCAACACTCCAGAGCTCACTAACACTCCATTCGCTTCCAGGATCACCAGGCAAAGGAAACCGAGACACTGGCTCTTCCTGTCATCTATTACGTCCCCTACACACACACACACACACACACACACACACACACACACACACACACACACACAGAGCTATCCATGACTGCTCCTGCTTTCTTGGGCTGCACCTAATGCAGGCAAGAAGAGAGATGCACAGCAAGTTTATCTTTTACTCTTGGCCATAAGAAGCCAGTAATCTGCCTTTGAGCACTAACTCCATCCACAAAAACTTAAAGCTAGTCCCTAAGAGACCCCTCCAAACAAAATTTTATATAAATTTATATAAATCTTACTCTTTTATGGGTCTATTTTAACTCTAGCCTTAAAAACAATGCTGTATTTCCATTTTATTTATTTGTTTACTTATTTATTTTTGGCTTTTTAGAGACAGGTTTTCTGTGTTGCCCTGGCTGTCCTGGAACTCACTATGTAGACCAGGCTGGCCTTGAACTCAAAGATCTGTGTCCCCGTCCCCCACCCCTCCCCAAGCCAGTGGTGGAATTAAAGGTGTGTGCTCCCTTCCCCAACTGCCTGCATTCCCATTTTATAGCCGCATAGTTTCATTATGGTAAAACAAAGAATGTTACTAGTTCACAATCTCTTGAAAGAGCTTAAGTATGGGATGATTAAAACACTAACCACAAGTCAAAGAGCCAAATACCTAGACATTTTGAAGCCATGCGGGAAAAAAGTAAGTTTGAATCTGAAGGCAGAAAATGTAAAATGACAATAAAATCACTTACGTTCTACTCAAATGAAGCAATTGTGTTTTCTGGGTCTGGGCATAGAGCTGCACACCTTTAATCCCACGCTAGGGAGGCAGAGAGAGGTGGATCTGTGAAGTCAACCCTTGACTTCCAGGCCAACTAGGGCTACACAGTGAAACTTTGTCTCAAATAAAAATAGTGTGTGTTTTCTGGACTTAATGTTCAGAGAAAAAGTGATTCAGATTACACTAGCTTGTTTAGTTTTGTTTGGTAAAGGAATTAAGCAAAACTGAAGTGGAGAATATTCATTATTTTTGTCACTGTTCTATCAAGAACTTTGGTGATTAACCTACTTTTCTAAGGTAACATCAAGAAGTTCTGCTTTTCCTATATACTGGGTTAACGTCTTTTAAATTAAGAGAGAGCTTATTTTAGGACATATTAATGCCTTCCATAGACTATAATAGCAAGCAAAGAACTCTAAGTAAAAACTTTAGTGACTACACAAGGTAGAAAAAAATCAGCTAGTACTTCTGAACAGGAGCAGTAAACATTTCAAAGGACTTCACTAAGCACCAGGCTCCAAATACAATCACTGGGAAGTGTATGTGCCCTTGGCCTGCATGAACGGACACATTGCTATATTCTCTTAATTAAAATGTAAAATTCAGCTTATAAAATAATACTCTTCCTTTGCTCGTTAAAGAAACGGTGCCCTCTAGGGGCAGAAATGTATCTAGGAAAAAGTGCCAACCTCTACTTCCAAGGTATGAAAATACTCTCCTACTATTAGCAGTGTTTCTCAGCCAAAGGTGTGAAACAGAGCCACCTGAGGAACTGTTTAACATACACAAGCTTCTGCACCTCCCGGACTGGAAGCACATGTGTCCTGAATAAAGGCTAACAGATCAACACTGTTAGTAAACACCTACAACTTCCAGTTATCTACAGTTCCTTCTTTAAAAATCACCCAAGTATAGTTTTGGAAAAATCACAGTTACAGGTTTGGACAGAGCTGAACCCAGATCTAGTCCCAAGGATGGGTCCTGATGAGGTCAAGTTGATTGGTAATTCCCATCTTACGAGCAAAGAATCCTGTAATAGCTAGGCATGAGGTTTGGAGATGTGACCAGGTAGCATTTTACCATGAGGAAGAGCTGTGTGGTCACTGTGTAGACTCTGTACACTGTAGAGTGTGGTGATGAAGCCAAGCTTGTATAGATTAGAGATAACACAGATTAGAGGAAGAGATTCTGGGTCAGTCAACTTCACCCTCTCCTGAAATCTGCCTATCCTTAAACCTTTCAGTCACAATGG